CCCCCCCCCCCCCCCCATTACAACAGATATTCTTAAATGCTTACTTTGGCTTTGTCACTTTCCTTCTCTAGTTCGTCGATGACCTTGTCCTTCTCTGTGAGCTGGGCCCTGAGGATATTGATCTCTGGAGCCGAGTTAGGATTATGTTTAGGATCCAGGGTCTTGATTACAGATTTAGCTTTCTCAATATACTTCTTGTATCTCTCCTCCATACCAGCCATCTCAACCTCTTAATATCAATCCAATAAATCCATAATTCAGAAAAAATATCTTTAAGTAAATATTTGACAATTATTTGTTGTTCTTCATATTAAAGTTAGGATGTTCGAACAAAATTAATGGAATGGGAATTTATCTTCTATCTACTGACTTTCATTCATAAAACTAATCAAACTAGTAACCTGCTTAGTTATTAAACATAATATTCCCTGATTCTGGGATTTCAAAAATGTTCAAAACAATCGAGATTAGAGGGGGAGCTGACAAAATAATGAAGTCATGCTCTCAAAACTTATTCTTATATTTTTACCTTTTTTGTTTAATATTTCTTGCTGACTAGCAATCTTTTTATTTGATTCCAGCAACTTAAGTTCAAGTTCTTCTCTAAAATACAACAAATAAGATTAGTCACACAAAAACAAATCCTTTTAAAAAAATGAATTTTAGACATAACAACTGGAAATCTTTTGAAGAGTAGAAGTGGTAAAGAACATTAACTTAATTATAACTTCATTCTACTTTCAGCAGTCATAGAAGTAATAAGTATTTCTTTTTTAATTTTATCAGATCAAGATAATTGCTTTCCAAGAGAACTAAAGAAAATGGCACTTAAAACTTTTATATATATTCACAGAACAAAAATTATTTTTTGCAACACTGGCGAAAACATGTGAAAATTGACCCCCCCCCCCAAAAAAAAAAAAAAAATCTCAAATTTTTTCCCCGTCAGAATTTTGGATGAAAAATTTGGTAAGTGAAATCCCATTTCTCTTTTTTTTCCCTACATTTTCTTTAAAACTCTGGGGAGATGAGGGGGGAAGTTGTTGAGAAAATATAAAAATATAAGTTTAAAAAAATAACCTGCTTCCTGGAACACGTGGAGGAGGAGCAGAGGATTCTTCTAATCGTGCCTCAAGTTCCAGAATTCTCTTGTTTGCATCTCTACACAAATATTTGATTATCAGCAATATCTTTATATATATATATATATATATATATATGTCCTGTCTGTTTGGTGTGCTGGTTTGTATTAAAAAAAATAGGTCAAAACGGCTATAAGGTCGAGCCTAAACTTTTTGTGACAGGTCAAAATTATAGAATGTTTGGTTTCATCAATGTTTTTGGAAATCCATCGGTGAAAAAAGATAACTCGAAATTTTATGAAGAACAAAAAACTAATGCTACTTAAAAGAGGTCAACGTTCCCAGCCATCAAAATGTATTAGAGATGATAGAATCTATTGGTAAAGGACATTTAAACACTTTGAAACAAATTTTAAAAAAATAATTCATAACAATTAAACAACGAACGTAAACCATAAATAAATGCATGGAACCAAACTTAATTTTATTCTTTGTGAAACTAACTTCAAATTGCTCTTCTAAACAATAGTACATTCCTGACCTAATGAAGAACGGAGCTATCATTATTTGTTACCTGTTTTTCTTAGTTAGTTCCTCCTCTCTTTCCTTTAAATCCTCAACCATAGTTTGTAGGACTTCATCCCCCTCACTTCCTGTAGCCTAGAAGAAAAAACCATTATTTTTGATGAAAGTCTTTGGTTTGAATGATCCCACACATTATTTTAGACTAGGTGAGGTTAGGATAAATGGTCAATAATTTTTTAAGGAGCTAATGGGGGGGGGGGTTAGGCGGCATTTCTTCCGATTTAAACAAAGTTTTGTGACAGGGCTTATCTCATTCTGTGTGATAAATTTACTTATAAAATGTATTTCCATGTTACTTTGTTGGAGACAAAAAGTCTTATAAACGACAAAACAATCAATATACCAACCTAATCAAGAAAATAATCTAACTATATAAACAACAAAACAATCAATATACCAACCTAATCAAGAAAATAATCTAACTATATAAACGACAAAACAATCAATATACCAACCTAATCAAGAAAATAATCTAACTATATAAACGACAAAACAATCAATATACCAACCTAATCAAGAAAAAAATTTAACTATTTAAAAATATGACGCCTAATATCTGACAGCGAAATTTTTATTTTTATTAATAAAAACGTTTAACCCTTAATCTCCATTTGTTATTTTATACACCTAAGGAACTTAAGGAAATGGAATCTGTAAGAGACCCCAATGTGAACCCCCCAGACCACTGCCAGGTATTGGAAGCACCATCCCAGTCCTGTTCAGTACAGACTTTTAACCCCCCCCCCCCATTAGATATTCCCCTGCGGGGGGATCAAGGAGATACTTCAGGTGGTTGGCAAACCAATTAAATCTATTGGTTGGTTACTGACAACTGTTTAGGTGAAGCATATTTATTAATTATTACTAAAACATATAAATATCCACTCCAATAAAATCTTATCTTTTGTTGATTGTTTAAAATCATACCTTGGCTCTGAGACGTTTGTTTTCTCGCTGTAATCTAATTAATCTCTCTTTAACTGAGGGAGGTATATTCTCCAGCATTCCGCTATCAGGGTCATCTCCTAGATCTCCGCTATACTCAGGACTTCGCTGACCAGCCTAACAAATAAGAAATAATAAAAGACTTCTTTATAGGAACCCGACATGGAACCGCAAAAACAGTTAGGTATTTATAAAAAAAAGTTCATAGTATATATTTAACTAAGAAATCGTTCCCATCGATTTAGGTCCTTGGCTTAATAGATTATAAACAATTTTAATATTATTTTTTGCAAAGAATATAAAAACTTCAAAATATTTACCTCGGCGGTCATTTTGAGTTCCTCATTAAGCTCTTTGAGTGCATTCTTCTCCCCTGCGATCCTGTCCCTCTCCACCGTTAAAGTCTCCAGCTTCTCCAATAGCTTGGCATGCTCGAACGCCAGCTTGTCCGCTTTGTCCACCTCCGCGCTTAGCTTTGTGTTCAATTCGTTGATCTGCTTCTTATAGATCTCAATCTGGGGTTTCTTTTTGCTCACCTTCCCTAGCTCGTCCTCCAGGTCGAGGTTGTTCTGCATGTACTCGTTGTTCTTCTCCTCCAGGAACTTTATCTGCCTCTTGAGGTCGCCCATCTCCTCCACCTTCTTCTTGTAGGTCTCTATAATACCCTCGTACTTCTCAACTTTATCACTTGTCTCTCTGATAAAATTATTTACATTAAAATTACATCTATTATATTTCATCCTCAATTTTGATATAATTCATTTTTTTCTAAATTTTTATTCATTCTTTTCAATGTTTGTGCTTTAAAATTGGGGGAAAAAAACTTTCTGCAAATTTATTACACTAGCCTTATAGGGCGCTTCGCGCCCATCTTCTAAATTAATTGTAAACATGTTCACTTTGTGTACATCGTAAAACAAAACAAAAATAATTCGCGGATTTTCACAAAAAATTTCGTGGATTTTCAAAAATTTAATGAAGATCGAATTTTGATGGAGACAAATATTTGAAATTTTGATCATTCATAAACCTTCCCTGTGGTCACGTGATGTCCCACAAAAAATTTGGACCCGATCGGTTCAGCCGTTTTGACGTTTATTGGATACAAGCAAGCAAACAAACAAACAGACAGACAGACAGACAGACAAGCCAAATTTATATATAGATTAATTGAAGATATTTCAATAATCAGTTGAACTGCAAGGATCAAAAAGGGGGGGGGGGAGATTTTGCTTTTAGTCTGTAAACAGAGTGGGAAACTTTTAATGAAAATAAGTAAGCGGGGAGATTAAATAATCTCTCATTAGACAACTTTAGGAAGGTTGTCCCATGGGAGATCGGTTAATTAACTACAAAGCACAAAATGCTAGGTTCTCAGCTCATCTAGATTCAGATTTTGTAGTAATATCCAAAGAGCAACATGTTTTCAATCCTAGTCTAAGTAATTGATAAAAAATAAGAACCCTGACATTTGAAATGATGTGTATGACACGTTATTTCTACAATCTACAATCTACATCTATATTTTTGTTTTTAATACCAACGTTTGTAAATTGATCTTGAATTAAAACGATAAGATTAGATCTCCCCACCTGAGAATGTCTACTTCATCCTTGAGTGATCTGCTCTGTTCTGCCAACTTCTGTAGTTCGACCAGCTTCTCCTCGCTCTCCTCTAGCTGCTGGGTCAACTCATCGACCTTATGCTGTGTCTCATACTAAAATCATTTTCGGGTCAATATCTTTTTTAATCAAAAAATGTTAATCTTTTCCAACAGTTCAATTTATTTATTCCTCTAATTATCTATCTAATAATGTTTTTTCTTTTTTCCTTATTTTACTTTCATTAACTTTAAATAAAAATCAACTAACACAATTATTTGCATTTTATGCCAACATTTATTCCCAAAATAACATAATTATACGTGATTTTTCAATAACACCCAGAAATACAAAATGTCTAAAAAATATGACTGGTGCGCAGATCTGGATTTGTACAGCAAGCTCACTATCTCTCCCTACAAGATATTCCAGTTGTGTCTCCAAATATGATGGGTCGAGTGACTTATCAACTAAAGACTTAAAAGGACTTGGCAAAATAAGTTAATTAATATTTCACCTTGGCGGCTTCCATTGATTCCATTTCTTGTTTGAGGTTTTCATTTTCCTTCTTGAGTTCTTTATATCGGATCCCGGAATCTGGGAGGACACCAGTCCCCTTACTACCAAGCTGGGCCTGTAAAATAAGCTGTTTTACAATTAAAACTTTTAAATGAACGGAATGTAAGTAGATTAACCGTTCTTATATTAATTAAAGTTTATAAATAAGACCAGAACGAGTCCAGTTCAACTTAAACAATTTACATCAGAGATTTCATCTATAAGCTGTACCAATAAACATCGAGGATTTAACCAAGAGTTTTCTTCTCGCAAAGTTTAATGAAATTTACCAATCCATTTACAAGTTTCTTACAACGGTGAAATGCAAGAAGGACAAGCTTATGATATCATAATTCTACTTATCTGTTATTACCATCAATTCAAAAAATATAGACATCCCTACAAACGGAACTACGCCACCGATCGCAATACATTTAACGCGGAATAAAAAACTGTTCTGTTTAGCATAAAGTTGTTTAACCTGTAGATGTTCGAACTCTGCTGAGAGGTTTGATTTCTCCTCCATGAGTAGGTTTAACCTGAGCTCTAGTTCATGACAACGTTGAGCTAAACCTTCCTTCTCCAACCTTGTCTTCTCCATATCATCCATCAGCTTCTTCACCTGGTTTAATACAACATAGATTTAACAAAATTAATTGATAAGGATTCAATTTTCCGAATTGGAAATCAGATCCAAAAGCTTGAATTCGAAACCGGATCCAGATATATATATATCCGAAATCGAAACCAGATACCAGATATCTGAATCCGAAACCGGATCCAGATCACCGAATCCGAAACCAAATCCCAGGCCCTAAATAGGACAGGAACCCAGATCTAGGCAACTAACTCAGCCAGATACCGGATCCAGAATCCTAAGTCAAATACCGGATTAGAATGTTTTAATTCGAAACCAAAATCCCTAAATTGGAAATTCCTGAATATCATCCTGTAGGACTAAGAACTACCTGAAAGTCGTCCTCTAGGTCTAAAAGAATACCTGATTATCGTCCTCTAGGTCTAAAAGAATACCTGATTATCGTTCTCTAAAACTAAAAGACTACCTGAATATCGTCCTCTAGAACTGGAAGACTATGAATGGATTGTGTTGGTACACCATGAAGTTCCTGAAATAACAAAAAATGAAGAACCTATCTAAAAACAAGGATTTGTCAGAAAATTGGATTTAAAAAAAGGCGAGTTAAGTTCAACTCTTGGATGCCCCCTCTCTAGGCTTCTATCCCTTGTATACCTGGATTGCCATCATCACCACCCTCTGAACCTCCTCTTCCATCTCCATGATCCTCTGGATGTACTCCGCCTGTTCACTACAGTTGATGGCTACTCCTAGGATAAGCTGGAGAAGACGACCAATATGCTCCTTGTTACCATTTACAACCTAGGACAGGGGACTTGCAGATTGGAATCAAAGTTTTGAATAAGTTGTTTTTAATAGGCTGGTGTCGTGCATGGAGACTGGAGACCCTACCCTGCATAGAGAGCCTACCCCTGTGTGTTTTAACCATTTCGACACAATTTTAGACATTGAAAGTAATTTTAAAACATTTAGAATTATCAGAGAAAAGAAGGAATTTGAATTCAAAGCATTGAATATATAAAATAAAATAAAAAGTTTCTGGAAATGAGACAACAAAGAAGCATTGGCGGATACAAGGGTTTAACCTGAGAGCCCTTAAGCATATAGGGAGCTACGGAAAACGGAGATAAAGTACTAAGTTAGCTCACCCATTATAAATACCCTGTATCCGCCCCTGCAAAGAGGATTTCTTTTATTATGAAATATGTTCTCCTAGTAGCATAATAAGGAACTGTGATACCTGATTAACGTCTGGAACAGGAAACTGCGTCAGCTGCATCCCAACAACATCCTTGAGATAGTCCACCGTACTGCCGACCACCTTCCTGATGTTGTTAACCCTCAACCTCTTGTTCTCCTTGACGGGTGAAACCTTGGTCAACCAGGTGGTGTCGAAGTGGTCTGGAGCAAGCTGATTCAATACCTTAAAACAGTACAGTGGTATCCAAAAACAGTAAATTTTTGTCGTCTTTATTCTACCTAGTTATAATGTTAATATTCTATATAATAAAACAAGACATTCGTATATATGTTCCATATTGCAGGGCTGAAATTTTTTTAGGGCACCCATGGTTACCCTGGGAGTGCCGTAGGCTAAAAAAAATATATATTATCACCTGCGCCATAGAGACTCCTTCGCAAATATTTTCTTCTGTTCCTTGTTGCTGGATTGGGAAGGTTCTCAGCCATTTCATCAAGCTGGAGTACAACTCATCTTTATCACTTCCCATTTTTAATATTTGTACTCAACAACCTTTCGTTTGATTTTGTTTTTAATCTTCGAAAATTAATATCTGAATCACTTCTAGGTTGGTTTAGCTTGCCTTTGAATGATCTACAGCTAACAATCTCATTTTGTTAAATTTAATCTGTAAAATTAATTTCAGCTTTTGTATGAACATGAAGGGATGCTCAATCTGGATATAAATATAAGATTTGCGTTCTTTGGACTGGACCCCCCCCCCCCCTCCTATCAATTTTCCATGACCATAAATTTACAACAGAATTATTATTGATTATTTTTATTATATTAGAGTTAGGTTATGTTTTCAGCTATTACCGGGCCGAGCGAGGCGGCTATGCAGGCAATTAAGGGCCGAGCGCTGCGGCAGGGGGGTCGAGCGCCGCAGCTAGGACAAGCTAGGGGTCCGGGTACTGCGGCCACATGACCAATTATATCTATGTGTTACATATGAGATCCATGTACTAAATTGATAGGAGGGAGGGGGGTCCAAAATCGTTCTCTAGGAAGTTACCTATCTTTTAACATGCATTTGACAAATTTCAGTACATTAACTGTCATTTATTCATACAAATTATTGTATTTCTGTTAAGTAGTAAACAGTGCGTCAAGTGCACTTCCTAGTTCAATGCAATAACTACGCGCAGGCAGTTAAGCCAGGCAATCATGCAATATGACACTAATTCAGGCATTTTCCCATACATTCATATAGCAGTACTTTCTCTCATCCAATAGAAATCTTTTTGTAAAAACAGGATTATGGGGGAAAGGCAAATTCTTTACCAAGATTGGTGAAGATTTAAAACCTATCTCTGATTTGTAGAAACAATAAAAACTATGAAACATGATTGGATAGATTTCTTATCTAGTTTACTATTGGAGGAATATCTATACAAGAGCTACCTGCTTTATCGATTAAACTCTGTAGGTAAATCCAACATGGCCGATGTTACACTGCATACAGTACCGGCCAACCGGCGAAATTTTGTCTCGAGTTTTATTGTGTGAAATATTTACGGTGGTTTCCTAGAGAATGTTTGTTTTTAAGCTTCTATAAATTCTGGACATGCATCTTACGGTAAGCTTATTTCACTTTGCAGCTCCTTTTAGTCCTGTTTCGAATTTCAGAAATGATGGGATACACTTTAAACGTGTTGGTCATGGTGGAGACTGGAGATTTGGGACTGTTGGGTTGGGGGGTCTGTCCTAGAGAACGATGACGATTAGAAATGAACTATTTGGGCTGAAATTATAGAGGAATAAGTGGACCCGATCATCCTGGTTAATGATGGAAAGGTGGGCCATCCTGGCTGAAAGAGAGGTTAATGGACCATTATGGCTGATTGATTGGTGGGTGGACCATCATGGTTAAATGATGAGGAGGAGGACCATCATAGATAACAACGGGTAGGTGGACCATCCTTACTCAAGGTGGGTGACGGCGGACTATCCTTTTTCAAGGCGGATGAAGATGGACCATTCTCCTCAAGGCGGGTGAAGATGGACCATCCTTTCTCTGTGAGGGTGAAGATGGACCATCCTTTCTCAAGGCGGGTGAAGATGGACCATCCTTTCTCAAGGCGGGAGAAGACGGACCATCCTTACTCAAGGCGGGTGAAGATGGACCATCCTTACTCAAGGCGTGGCTATAGGACAAGCAAGGGGGCCAAAAGCTGCGGGTAGGACAGGCTAGAGGCAGGGGGCTGCGGCCAAGTGACCAATGAAATCCAATTGATACATTAATACATTTGATTACCATGTACAAAACTGATAGGAGGGGTCCAAAAATCCTTCTCTAGGAAATTACCCTCAATATATAATAATGGCTACATTGCCTGTCCATTAACCAGATTGATTAGTTATAAAGTCTAATATATACTAGGAAGGAAAATATTTCCATAAATTTGTCGTATTTTAGGAAAATATTGATCACTAAGTTATAATTTATGGTTGTGTCGTATATATATTATGCTTATTGCTAACCTGCCCCTGTTTAAAAAGTCTCACTGACTTTTTTTTTTTATAAATTATCAAGAAAGGAATAATGCTTGCTGTCGTTTACTTCATATTTAGTATTGATAGAAAACATCTTTTCTAGTAGAAATCGGGACTTTTGGGGTTTTGATCTTAATATTTTGACGGTTACGTTTGTAATTTGTAAAAGTAGAAAATAAGTACCAAATAATTAGATCAGAATCCCATAGGTTAGTTTCTTTTAGGATAGTTCTACACGAAACTTTAATATCTTCAAAAATGTTAACTTTCAAGTTACATATTTGATTGGAAATATTTTTTAGATCTTTTCAAATTTTATCTGTGTGATAACAGAGTAGAAATATTTTGGCAAAGTGTATAAAATATATCTTAATTTTTATATCGTAGGCACTGACTGTACACAGTACAACGTACCTCATAACGTACTGCATACAATATGATGGAGAATACACTGAGAAGTATCTGTACAAATGTACATAAATGGTACTGTATGTACACTGTACAGTGTACAGTACATGAAATGAAGAAAGCTGTTCCACGAGATAATAAGGATAGTCATTATCTATGTACGATAAGGGTACATACCTGTACTGTACTGGAAAGGAAGTATTTAAAGGTTTTATTCTTACAAAGATAATTTTAAAGTTTTGAAGTATTGTAGTTTTTATCAAATCGAATATGTATATATTTTTACCAATAATTTTTAAAATACATATGTATTAAGTATGTATTTTGATACTTTTAAATTCTTAAAAAATTACTAATTCAAACATGTTCTTTTGTGAGTTACAATAGTTTTAACACGAGGTTTTTGGGCGCTTCGCTCCCATCTATTATTAATTAAAATTTTATCTTTTAAATATCTTCCATGCCACCATCGTTTAACCAAAATAAATGCGTAGATTTTGGTTTTCAAAGTTGCATTTCAAACTTTTTATTAAAACAAAAAATTTATGGAGGCAATATTTTTAACTTCAATAACCGTACGGTTTTTATTCATAAAAAAAGGAATGATACCTAAAGATCAACCTGGTCCAATTTTCCCCTTTCTTTGTAGATTTACAGTAAGAATCGGTGAAATTACTTATTATTAATTAGTATTTGATATTTTTGTATGTCATCTTAACATCATTGATATAACACTTTTTACTATTTATGTATTCTGTACAATCCATATTTTCACATAAAGCTGTAAAGCTTAATATCTGAATTTCAATAATTTATTGTGAAGCCTAATAAAAAGTTGTATCTACATATTAATTACATGTAATTAGACCTTCAAATGCGATAAATCTAACCTTCATATGTTAATATTAGAATATTATAATTTTGATAATCTCGCAATATTTCTATCTTTATTTGTTATTTAAAATTGTATGTATCGTGTCATTACAATATTGCATTGTTCTGTATGTTGTACATAATCTTATCAAGATATTCTATAAATGTATGCTACTGTTTTGGAAGAAATGTATGAAAGAAGCCATGGTAAAAAGAAGTCAAGTCAAAAACAGATTTGTCATTAACGTTAAAAAAACGTTCTTGAGCTGGAAAATTAATTATAGTTTACATAAATTTTAGAAGTCCAAGTACATACATGTTTATTGTACATTGTATATAATATTACAATCTTAATTTATAATTTATCTTGTTAATTGATGGTATAATTTTAGAATCAACTTACACTGAAACAAAATGGGCGACGACGACCGAAGAATATTCATCGGTGGTCTCCGGTTTACAATTGACGAATCAACGGTTGAGGAATATTTCCGACAGTGGGGACCTCTCTCTGAGGTTAAAATTATCCGATATCCTCCTCCCGACAGCAGATCTAAGGGATACGGTTTCGTTACGTTTGAGTCTAAGGCGGCCAGGTCAGTAATAATTCTCTCAATCCTCAAAGAAGAACAGTTTAGTTAACGGGAGAACCCGTCAATTTGTAATCCTTACCTCTGATTCATTAATACATTCTAAGAGAACCTCCAATTGTCACGGTGTATTGTAATTTAATCTATTAGTAATGTTGTAAATGAATTATTATAGGGATCACTGTGTGTCTGAAGGCAGCCATCAGATCGATGGTAAAGTTATCGAAATCCGCCTCTCAGACGCTTCTAAGAATAAACGGGCAACCGGCGGAAGCGGTGCCGAGTACCGACGAGACTATGACGATACGACCATCGATGTTGACCTCGAGGACGTCAAGTTTCGACGTCTTTTCGTCGGAAACGTCGACCAGAACTGGACAGAGAGTATTATCACCGATTACTTCTGTAACATTGGCCAAGTCCAGGAGTGCGCCATAAAGAAGGGACCCGAGGGGAAACATCTCGGATTCGCCTTCATGACATTCGCCACCTCCGCCTGCGTAGACAAGATCCAGCAGCTCCGCCCCCACACTATCCAAGGGCGGAAGGTTGAGACGAAGAGGCAGGTTGCTAAGCAGAACGTTGGTAAACCTGAAGCTAAGCTGGAGGTCGACAGAATCTGGGTCGGAGCTCCTGAGAGTGAGAAAGGTTCCAAGGGACATATCGGGCTCGGAGATACACATACAGACGAAGTTCTAGAGGTTGGATTTTTGACTTTGTTTTACTTCTCTTATTTTTTTTCTTTTTCATTAAGTATAAGTATTAATCTGTTCTAACTTTCTTATTATTCAGAGGTACTTCTCTAAGTTCGGGAATGTAATAAAAGTTCAGCAGTTGATGTGGGAAGATACAAAGAAGAAGAGAGGATACGGGTTCATTGTATTCGACGACTTTGATGCTGTTGACAAGGTAATTATACACTACATAAGAAACTTATTGATTTATCATTAAAAAATTATTGATTTATCGTCCAAATCAAATCATATGATATAATTCTCTGCAATCAATGATTTTAAAATTCATACAAGATATATTATAATTAATTATTGAATTTGTATCTTGAAACAATTAACATTAAATAAATTAAAAGTTTCACAATTAAAAGGTTAAAAAAAGCATTTTTTAAACTGAAATTCCACGTTACTAAATTGGCCTTCAGTGGTTGGTTGGTTGGTTGGTTGGTTGGTTGGTTGGTTGATTGATTGATTGATTGATTGATTGAACCCTATGCTAGGTTGTCCTGGCCCGGGTTCACCATGTCGCCGGTTACAAGCTGGAGGTAAAGAAGGCTGTCAAGGACAAAGATAGAGCTCTGGGAGGTGGTCGCAGGGACATGATGGGACAAGGAGCAATGACTGGCTTCGGATCTGGAGGAAATATGGCTCCAATGGGAGCCATGGGAGGAATTGGAGCTATGGGTGGTATGGGAGCCATGGGTGGAATGGGAGCCATGGGAGGAATGGGAGGCATGGGTGGAGTGGGAGCCATGGGAGGAGGATTTGGTGCGGATGGAGCCAGGAATGGTCGGAAGAGAGGGATGGAGAGAGAACAGTTTCCAAAGAAGAAGTTTAGATATGAGATCAGGGACGCAGAGTCGGAGATTATGCGGAGTATCTTTGTTGGTAACCTCAACCCTGTGTCAGAGAAGGAAGACATAGAGGAATATTTTGCCAAGTTTGGAGATATCGTCACGGTTGACATGAAGAAACAGCCGAACTCCAACAGAAACCGAGGCTTTGCATTCGTCGTGTTCAGCAAATCCGAGGCTGTAGACAAAGTTATGGCAGCAAGACCTCACAGACTTGGTGGTACTAACATCGATTGCAAGAGGAAGACTCCTAAATCTGAAGGCTACGGGATGGAGGAAAGGGTTAAGAAGATCTGGATTGGTAAACCTGATCCTGAGTTCAAGATTGTCAGCTACGGATTGAATGAAGCTACGACAGATGAGGTTCTTGAGAACTTCTTCAACAAGTTCGGTAAAGTTGTTCATATCCATCAGTTTATCTGGAAGGATACTAACAAGAAGCGTGGATATGGATATATCACCTTTGATGATGAGGATACCGTGGACAAGGTTGTTCTACTGGGAATACATAATGTCGAGGGAGTCCAGCTACAGTGTAAGAAAGCTCTATCCAAAGAGTTCCAGGAATCAGAAGAGAGGAAGAGAATGGCAATGCAGCAGAATAGTTCCGTCAACATGATGGGAAGCATGGGAATGGGAAATACAGGGTTTGGAATGAATACAAACATGTTCAATGGAAGCGGAGCTATGGGTGGAAATATGGGAGCTGGCATGGGCACCGGTATGGGAGGAAACATGGGTGGTGGTATGGGAGCTGGCATGGGCGGTAACATGGGTAATATGGGCGTTGGAATGGGAGGCAACATGGGCGTCGGAATGGGAGGCAATATGGGCAATGGAATGGGTAACAATATGGGAGTTGGCATGGGCGGTAATATGGGAGGACCTGGAGGAAACATGAACGGTATGATGAACAGCATGCAGGGCATGATCAACACTATGCAGGGCCAAGGAGGAAGCTATGGAGGAATGGGTAACAACATGCAGAGCATGATGAACCAGATGGATACCATGAAGAACAACGGTAACTCTGGAAACATGAAGGAGATGATAGGAAACATGAACTCTATGATGGGTACCCTGGCCAAGGAGAAAGTGAAAATTAAGGCGAAGGGGGAGAAGAAGGATGACGATACTCAGGAGAAGATGATGGGAATGATGAGCAACATGATGGCCATGATGAACAATATGGCAAGTATGATCCAGACAACTAAGGAACCGCCTCCACCCCAACCTAGCTCAGGGTACGGAGTTAACCAAGGAACATCTCAACCTCCCCCAACACCAGGATTTGATGCCAGCAACTACGGCTACGGGTATGCAAACTACCAAGCCGGAAAATAAGTTTTCCTGTTTACTAACTGTTTTGAACCTAACTACCATTGTTTGTATATTGTGTGAGAAATAAAGAAACAAATTTGAACTTTTTTTGTGGATTTTTTCAGAAGAAAATGATAGTTTAATATTTTTCTTTCTTATCCTCTAAAATGAGTTCCGCTGCTCAGATCAACCATAGGGTAACGGATGTTCTTGGTTCTCTGGGATTTGAGTCACATCCGTTCTTAGTAGACTGGTATAATCAACAAGGAGGGTTTAGATTATATGGAGATGTTTGCTCTATAAATGGTCTTTAGTTCTCATTTCTTAATCTAATGTAATTAATACCAGTAGTATTCTGAGGAGAAGCATTTTTCAAAATGTCTTCAATATAACTAATTAATACCTGTAGTTTTAAATTAAATTCGAAGCTACATTTATTATTTAAGTAAGTAAAAAGTTATATAATACATATCACATAAAAATACCTTCAATCCTAAATTATCTCAATTATAAAATATCTCGTTAACTTTTGAATTTTCTCCAAGCCAATTTGACAGCCTTGTACAGTTTTTAATGGCAGTTTTATGCCAATTTAGAACACTGCTCGAGCTAATATGGTGAGGGACCCCATGTGTCTAGTGTTGTTTATTGGTTTCTAAATCAACAAAATTTCAATTTTAAAGCTGTATTGTTGAAGTTTTCTTTTATTAACCTTTGTTCTAATAAAAATGAAAAACCGATCTTTGCAACTGGTTCGTTGTTGCATCGTTTTTCGCATATATACTCTAGCAGTGTTAGGGTCTTAATTGTACACACTACACAGTGTTAAAAAAGAAAATGTTCAGATCAAAGAATTTAGAAAACATGGCTTCCTTTACACTAAATTTTGACCCCGAAAGAAAATATAGGCAAAAAAGGACCAACTGCAGGCACATATATGTGTCTTTTTTTTATATAAAAACTAAATATAATTTTCCTACTAACAGTATCAGACAAATTTGCATTATCCTACGCGCCTGGAACACTGGCGTGCATTATCATCAGTCAGCCAGCAATGTTCGAGCGCGCTTTTCTTCCTTTCCTCAGGCAGGAAGCACATTAAAAAAAATAGATTTTATTAAATCGATTCATTGACTTTTTGAAAAATTTTCATCGAAATTCAATGAAATATCATTGATTATTGTAACCCATGTAATGTGAATAATCTATATATAAATTTGGCTTGTCTGTTTGTCTGTTTGTTTGTTTGTTTGTATCCAATAAACGTCAAAACGGCTGAACCGATCGGGCCCAAATTTTTTGTGGGACATCTAGGGACCCCAGGGAAGGTTTATGAAAATCAAAATTTCAAATATTTGTCTCTATCAAAATTCGATCGTCATTTAATTTTTAAAAATTTTGAAAATCCGCGAAATTTTTTGTAAAATCCGCGAATTATTTTTGTTTTGTTTTACGATGTACACAAAGAGAACATGTTCACAACTAATTTAGAAGATGGGCGCGAAGCGCCTTGAATTTCTAGTAATTAGAAAAATTTTAAATAAAAGAAGGATATTCGTAGATTTGTTTAACCCTTTAATTAGAAAACGTTGACAATAGTTTTCTAAAATAAAATCTCATGACGCTTGAAACTATTAAATAGTGGTCTAAATAAACTTCGATAAAATTGTAATTGTATTCACTGTTAAGTCCTAGACTATTAAAAGATTTCGCTAAAAGAAAGCCCTCTACAAACTAAGAAGGTCTCAATAACAAAAAGGTTCTGGGAGAAGCACAAAAAAATCAGATTTTCAATGCAGAAATATATCTGAAGAATAATTTACACATTTGGTTTGAAAATAAATAACCGTTAAAAGAAAAATAAACAACTCCCCATTTTAGAATTTAACTTTTTAAACTCATCCAAATTTTTGCAAACCGGTCTACAAATCAAAGTTGTACAAAGAAACTATCGAAATAACAAAACCAAGCTGCATTACACTCAACAATGCCTCTCCTCAGACCTAATTTGATAAGTTTGATTTGATTTGGGTTTGTGGAGTTGGAGGAACCCTGAGAGTCTGATTTGATATGATTTATATTTTCTACATCTTGTTTTGATGTGCGTTTTGCAGAGAGAAGTGGGATAAAACTAATATTCAGGATCCCATAGACCAGGAACAGTTTATTTCAATATCAGATACAACATTTTTCTGGCGCTTTTTTTTAATAACTTTTACGCACAAAAGAAAAAATTTGGTAATTACATTTAGTATGAACGGATTATTTTAACAAGATAATTATTTTTAAGGCCTATTTTTGATGTTAATTTATGTTTTGATTGCATATTGTCATATCAATTCTTAATTTTGGAAATAGGACGTCCCTGAAAGACTGATTTGGTTTGATTTGATTTGATTTGATTTGATTTGATTTGATTTGATTTGATTTGATTTGATTTGATTTGATTTGATTTGATTTGATTTGATTTGATTTGATTTTAATTAAAGTTATGTAAGCTAAGTTTATGCAAGTCTCAGACACCAATATTTAATCAATCAATCACGTTTTTTTTTTAAAGTATGCAATCTGGTAATCTTAAAAATACTAGCTGAAGTGCCCGGCGTTGCCCGTTAAAATTTAGAAACACTTGGAAACAAAATTTCTATTTTGAATAAATGGGTTTCGTAAAAAAATTCTGCCGATTCGGTTCAGCCGTTTGGCCAGCTATAGCTAACATATTTATATATTATAATTGAGCGAAAAGCTTCATTATATAGATACAAAAAATTTAATTTAATTGAACTATACTGATGTAGTGTATGATTCATTATTTTGACAAGTTGAAGAAATCTCTCAGGAATCAGTCGAATCAAAATTAAAGATAAAAAATCTATAAGATAATTAGTCATACATTCAATTTTAACCTATATGCCTTACTCAATTCTTGATTAAAAGTAGTGTTCCAAAAATCCGAAAACTATCAGAATTATTGTTTTTGTTGTAATTTCTAGTCACCATAATTTAAAGATGGGCTTTGTTATTTTACTACGTTATTTTTTAAACCTATATCGGATCAATACAGTGGAAGATATCATCGTTTAATTCTGACAATTTTCTCCATTTTTACTACAGCAGAAACCTACAAGTCATTAATTTAGGTAAACCACAACTAGAAATAATATTTGTGAAAAGCATAGTTGTTTAAGGGTACCATTGTGAATTGGTGATGCCATTATAAATGAGTCACGTGAGATTGCGTTAACAGTCTCTTATATTCGTTTCATTTTCTTTTCTTTTAATTTCTTTTTCATTGTCGTCTCTAAATTATCATCCTTTGTGGGAAACTCAGTTTCTAAAAGACTAAGATTACGACTGTTGGAAGTGAGTTGGAAATTGTCTCTCTACATGATTTTGAGTTGACCCCACTACGCCGACCTAAAATCCTAGTTCAAACTGCCGGTCACGTCTCAGGTCAGATTCTACGTGCTAATTACAGAAAGCTCTCGTCGAAATAACGAATAGAAGCGTTTTGAAGGGTAAAATTTTACGGCGAAGCTTCTTACTCGCAAAGTACGGCCTTAAGTCGGACCTTATTCTGGAAGGAATCGGGCACATGAGGAGTTTTGGATAAACTTGTGAAAAATTACTTAAATCTTTCTAATGCTAAATTTTTCCACAAATATCCATCTAAGATCTTACCCCCCTTGAAAATCTCAATTTCGGAGTGATGAAACTTTTAAAGCCAGAACATTAGCTGTGCTTTACGCTAATATCAATTTAATTGGTGAGGGGAATAATTTTTATCATAATTTTAACAATTTAAGTTTAATTATTGGTCTGCGCAAACCAACACTGAATAAATTATATTATAATTTTTTCTTGGAACATTTTTCTAGATATTTAAAATTTATATTTTAATAGTTGTTGTATTGTATAAATCTTCCGATGGCTTTAAAGGGAACTATAAAAATGTTAATTTAAAATTTTTAATAATTAATCTGGTCTAGGTGCAGTACGTTTCTACCGTCCAAACCAGTTTCCTAAGTTTACAAACAACAATTACTTCCCTGTCTGTCATCATCCTAGGTATTAATTAGAATTCTTTTTATCAGTGCTTACTATTGGGATTCATTTGATGTTGATACGGATCCGGATTCAGAAGATAACTGTAAGAGTACACTCAACTCGACAAAAAAAATTAAACAAAAACATTTTTGTATTAGATGGGGTGGATGGTTTGCTCTTCGTGGAGTTCTCATTTTTCCTGAAATATCCGAACCTGATCTGATACAAGTGGAACCAGAATCTCCGCTTAGGAACCAGATTTTATGAGAAATTTTCAACTACTCCATTCTGGATCAGGGGTTGCACACGTAGGGGATTGCGGGGAGCCCCCCCCCCCCTCGTACGCCCCTGTTTAGATTGAAATTTCACCGTTTCATAAGAGATGGCGTAAACACAAGAAACGACCTTACAAAAGAAAATTCCATTATTCCATTAAAAAATGTCGTAATTTCTTTTTGAAATTGTCATAATTTCTCAAGAAAATGTCATTATTCAACAAAAAGATTTACGAAATCAAAGAAAATGCCTTATTTGATGTAACAATGATTAATAACTTTTATATGCAATCAAATTGATTTGAAAAGAAATGAGTGACCATTTAAGGCAGTTATAATAGAAATGATAATATAATAACGATTTCACTAGACATGACAACGTTTTCATATTTTTAAAGGAAATTTTTTTTATAATTTTCGGGAAAAAAATAATAAAATTCTTCATAAGTTCTTTAACTATTGTTATCTTTCTTGATTTACTTATTCAAGCAAATTATGTTTTATCAAAGAAAACTAGTCACCAAACTGCGCCCCTTTCTAATCTGTGGCATAAAAATTTAAAAATTCTCTGAATATTTTCAACCTTGATTAAGTTTTTTCGAGTCCTTTCATCCAATATTAAAATATAATTTTAATATTCCATGAATCCATAAGTCGAAGAAAAATTATAAAAGATAAAACTCTGTTTAGTGATTCTGAAGCTCAGAATATGATGGAATTGTATAACACACACTGGCAGGTAAAAAAATTCAGCATTAAAGGGACCGAACGAAAAAACTTATTAATATTTAAGGGACTGTTGGTGTAATTAAAGGGACCGAACGAAAAACTTATTAATATTTAAGGGACTGTTGGTGTAATTAAAGGGACCGAACGAAAAACTTGTTAATATTTAAGGGACTGTTGGTGTAATTTTAAAGGATCTTTGTAAGAGTGTAATTATCGGTTCACAACGACTTTTTACAGTGGAGATAGATATCTTCATGAAATAAACCGAACATTTCTGATTTATGAGTTGTTTCGTTTTCGATAGAAAAATAAAGATATATATAAATGTAAAGAATGCTGTTGTAAATCGTTATTTAATTTGTGTTTAAATTTTTCAGGACTGGAGATGGAGAGATGCAGGATGTCCCAAAGAGAAATATTCCTCCCTTCAAATTAAATATTTTGAGACAGCCCCGGGGGAGCGGGGCAAAGTTATTGATTGTATTTTACAGGATAATCTAGATATTTATAAAGAAAATTCCAGCTAGAACTAAAAGGGTTTAGGAAATCCTCGTATCAAAACTATTAGCTCGAATGTCCGAGATGTGGTTTTGTTCTGTTTTGAGCTTACTTATACTGGTTGTGGTCAAATCTTTGATAAAAAATGCTGAATAAATTTTGTCAATCACATTTTTTTTTCATTGAATCAAAGTTTTTTTTTACAAGAAAGAAACTACCTCTACAAATTTTTCACTCCACGCTTTTCGTATGTTTATTGGTACTTTTTAATATTTTTAAGTAGCAGCTGGAACATAATTATTCAAATAGATTGAATCATCATTAACGACAAATTTATTGAATTTTTAAAGGAAAGAAAATTCAAGATTGTTTATTTATTGGTGCTAATTTAGAAATGAGATTAAGAGTAACAGATATCAATTAAGATTTTTGTACAAATAAACATATTGAAATTTTAAACCAACGCGGATATTTGTTCGTGTTGATTTGAAACCTTCAAGATTTTTATTCTACTTTTCTAGTGCGTGAAAAAAATTTCAATGTTTTAATTGCATATTGTTATAGTTCTATAGCTGTTTGTCTAGTTTGAATAATAAAATAGTTTTATTTGAAGTATATTTTTATATATGTATTTTTATTAGTAGATATATTAATTTGGTTTCAGATAAGAAATGAATATTAGGGTAGGAATACTGACTGTTAGTGACACCTGTAGTACTGGGGACGCAGTAGATTTATCAGGCAGAAATTCAAACTTTCTATCATTTTTTGGTGATTTAAAAGATTCAAGTTTTTAAAAAGTTATTATTTAAATGCCTGGACTGATAAATATAAATAATAACAAGATCAATTCTAATCATTCATCTCAATAGATACTTTTTAATTTTTCATGACAAAGAAATTGTCGCTTCTAGGGAAGAGATCAATACTGTCAATTTCGTTCCTTATTTATGTCGCTACTTATATAATTTGTTAATGGTATTGTTTTGTTATGTCCTTAATTGTTTGAGATCTATTAAAATTTGTTGAGAAATGCGGGAAAATAGTTTCAAAATATATTTCAACCAAACTTTATTGATTTTGTTTGGATTATAAGGTCCTCTGCTGTGCGAGCTATCGGAGAAGAATCTTGGAGTTGTCGTGAACCGTGCCTGTGTTCCTGATAACCTGGAGCAAATTAGGTTTATCATTCACCATCGTAGATCAGTTTGATCATTTATCAAAATAGATCAATCCGAACCTTTCCTCGCAATAGATCAATTCTTATCATTTATCTCAATAGATACATTTAGACATTCCTCTTAAAAGATCAATTTAAATCATTCTCTTAATAGATTAATTTAATCAATTAGATCAATTCTGTTACATTTCTAATTGCAACATATCTTAAGTAATCAAATTAACTTACGTCCATGTGATTTTAATTAACCTCATGTTTATGATTTTAATAAAGATAATACAGGGTATTCAACACTTAATTTTCTACACATTAAACAAAATATTAAATATTCAACATCCTATTATATATTCGCACTGTGTTCATTCCTTTAAAGAATTCTTGGAATTAAAATGAATTAAATGATATTTCAATAGACGTATTCTGGTTTCTTGGTCTGATACAGATACAGTTGATCTCATTCTTACCACAGGTTTTTTCTTTGATTTCATTCTTACCACAGGTTTTTCATTTGATCTCATTCTTACCACAGTTTTTCATTTGATCTTATCCTTACCACTGCTTTTTTCATTTAATTGCATTCTTACTACAGGTTTTTATTCAATCTCATTCTTATCACAGGTTTTTTCATTTTATCTCATTATTACCACAGGTTTTTTTCATTTGATTGAATTCTTACCAAAGGTTTTTTATCTCATTCTTACCACAAGTTTTTCATTTGATCTCGTTCTTACCACAGGTTTTATTTATCTCATTCTTACCACAGGTTTTTATACCTCATTCTTACAATAGGTTTTTTTATCTCATTATTACCACAGATTTTTTTCTCTCATTCTTACCATATTTTTTTTCATTTGAAATAATTCTTACCATAGGATTTTTTTTTTCATTTCATCCTATTCTTACCACAGATTTTTCATTTGAACTCATTCTTACCGTAGATTTTTATATTTTATATTTTTATATGGTTTTTATCATTTTTACCACAAATTGTTTAATTTTATCTCATTCTTATTACAATAGCGTTTTTTATTTGACCTCATTCTTACAACGGTATTTTTATATTCAGTCTCTTTAACCAGTTGAACTCATTCCTACCACAGATTTTTCATTTGATCTCATTCTTACCACAGGTTTTTCATTTGAACTCATTTTTACCACAGGTTAAATTTATCTCATTCTTACCACAGGTGTTTTATTTGATCTCATTCCTACCACAGATTTTTCTTTTTATCTCATTCTTACCACAGGTTTTTCATTTTAAATCATTCTTACCATAGGTTTTTCATTTGATCTCATTCTTACCACAGGTTTTTCATTTGAACTCATTTTTACCACAGGTTAAATTTATCTCATTCTTACCACAGGTATTTTATTTGATCTCATTCTTACAACAGGTGTTTCATTTAATCTCATTCTTACCACATGTTTTTATTTATTTTATCTATTTATACAATTGATATTTTGCTTGCCCCAGTTTTTTTTCTTCATTTATCTCTGTAAACATTAGATTTCATTCGTACCACAGCTATTTTAATATTTTGTCTCGTATAGTTTATCTTATTATTTCATTTTATGTTATTATTTTATGAATTCTGTTTGTTTAATGCATCCCAGCTTAAAATGTCATAAATGCAACGCCTTCTTTTAAACGCAAAATTAAATTTTCCAACTGTTATAGTAAAAGGCTTTTAAAATGCAAATGAACCAAAAATTGGCATTAATTAAAATTGAAAAAAATGCGATTTTAAAGTTTTGAATTTTCTTGTTTGTGCTATATTTTAAATTATATTTTTTTTTTTTTTTTTTATTATGTTAGGTGGGACTGGGTTTGGACCCCGTGATGTGACCCCTGAAGCTACCCTATCTATCCTGGAAAGATCAGCTCCTGGACTTATCCACTGTATGCTGAGTGGATCCCTGAGTAAAACCCCCCTGGCAGCTCTCTCCAGACCTGCAGCAGGAACCAGAGGAGCAACCATCATTGTAAACTTACCAGGTTAATATTTTTATAATGTTTTTAAGCATTTGACCCTGAAGAAAGAAACTCCTTGAACCTTTTACGCCTTTTATCTTAACTAAGATATTGAGAAATCTGTCCTCATTTCAGCTTATCAATTTGAAAAGCTTTTCAATTATCTAAATTTGAAAGAAACTTAGGTTTTCATTTTTTAATGATGGTTTTTCGTGAATAAGTTCCTGAATAAAAATGTTATGAGAGAAAAGAATTAAACAAGAAAGAAAGAAAGAATGAAAGAATGAAAAAAGAAAGAACGAACCGACGAACAGACGTATAGACGAACGAACGAACGAAAGAAATATATTTTCTCCAGGGAGCAAGAAAGCTGTTGGAGAATGTTTTGGATTCCTTCTTCCTGTTCTGCGGCATGCTGTAGATCTAGTTCGGGATAGAAAACCTGCTGTAAAGCTCACTCATGATAAACTTCAAGGTAGGGTTCAAGAAGTTGAACTACGTAAATGTAGAATAACTGCATCGGTTTAAGTTGAAGTGAAGTGGTTCAACTAAGTCCACGTAATTCAACTACATTTCTAATCATTAACCCTGGGCTTATTTATGTGTTATTGGAGTTTTGTACAATATCTTATCGAAACTTGCAATTTTTACTCATTTTTTGTGCTATTTAATCAAACATTTTTTTAACAAACTATGATTTTAAGTGCATGACCCAAATGTATCAATCTAGTCTTCACTTTACTTCCGTAATAATGATGATAATAAAATGATAATAATAAAGATAATAATATAATAATATTGATTAGGTGACATTCCGGTTCACTCGTGTCCGCACCAGCATAAGGTATAATTGCAATTTTATTGGTCTGAAGATTTAGTTTTGTTTTGTCTGTTATTTTTTTTTATTAATAAACGGCTGATTTGAATTGGCCCAAATACGTTTTCTAGCAAAGTTTTTTTAAGGATGTCACAACCCAAAAAAAAAAAAACCTTGAAAATTGATCATTTTTAAGAACAGGGAAATTTGCTAAATTTAAAACTCTATTAAAGGAGGAGAAAAAAAATTTTGAGAAATATTTATCCCCGAATGTACTACAACTTTGTCACGTGATACAGGTTTGATTATTGTACAGGAGCATATACCTGGAGTAGGAGTTGCGGGCCGGGCCAGGGAGTCTCCGTATCCAATGATATCCGTGGAGGAGGCTCAGAACCTTGTTTTATTCCAGTCTAGAAATCTTCTAACTAAGGTCAATCATTTAATCAATCAATCAATCACCGATAATAAAACATATTCATTCAATTTTAAGAAATATGTAAATCCAGTGAGACTCATAAAACTGTGGAATAGGAAAACGACTTATAGCCTCAAGTTATTAGTTTTAAACGTGCAATGAACATAAAAACAGTAATTGAAAAACCTATGATTTGACCCCCATTTTGAAGATAACTTTAAAATCCTCTGAGATGAAAGCTACAGATCCCCCTCCCCCCTCTCCTGGAAGTATCGGCTGTCTTTGCAGTAAAGAAGTGTACATTACTATACAAGTGTACCCTGGAGGAGAATTCAGTATGGAGCCGACCATCACTGGAGATCGGTTAAATATCCCAGAGAGACTAGTGTTCAGGACCCCGAGTCCAGAGTCCACATGGTCGTTGTCCACTAAGAGGCTACACAAGTCCAGAGTCCAGAGGCGAGCGTCCAGTATCTAGTGTCCATAGCTAGGCGAAAGTCCAGGGTCCGATATCCATCCTCAAATTAATCCCATGATATCGTGTAGTAAAAGTACCTTTTCTTGTTACCTTATTTATTTATCCTTCAATCTTAGTTGTTATTCTCTGTAACTTAAACTAATTATAAATATTTTTAGATTAAAAACGTCGAAATATATATTTAATATTATCTTTCGTGCTTACAATTTGTTGCTAAGATCTCTTCTAAAAGGCCGTTAAAACGCCTTAAACAGATTTACACATTTCACTTATAAAATTGCTTTATAAACTACAAGTTATTTCTCAAAATAACAAAAAATTGCTTAAATGTCACCTTCCCATTCCACAGTTTTATGGGTCTTACTTTGGATATTTTATTTAACTTTTTTGTTTTTGAGGATAGCTCCAATTTTCAGTTTTTGAATCACAAGCTCGTTATTAGGCGTTAAGGGAGAAAATATCATTAAGATATTTTTTACAGATCATAATTGCATATCTCTATTCTCAGCCTCCTTTTGAGGATGTGTACCAATTCCGATTGTGTTGAATTTTTATATATTTTCATAATGCCAAAAGGAATGGGTTAGAAAAGTTTTTTGAGATGTAAAATTTGTTCATGTAGAGCAGGAGACCTGATAATGTAATGCTAATTTGGATTTCTGAATTTACCTAATAGGTTGTATTGTAGGTAGCTTTCATGTCTATTGCAGATATTTTGTAAGTTTATTTTAAAATTAGTATAGAAAGGTGTTATTGAACATAAAATGAACATTTGAAAACATTTCAGAAATCATTTTTATTATTACTTTTTAAAAAATTATTTCATGGAAGAAAACTTTTTTAGTTCTGGTTTGCCATGTTTTTCTCAAACAGTTATGAGATTGCACTCTGGTCTGACTGAGAAACAGTATGAACACGTCCAGTAGATGTTTTTGTCTTTACAACTGATAAGATATTATGAACAGACACAATCAAATTGTCTGGCTTCTCTGGGTATTTAAAGGATCTAGCGGTGCATAGAAAATCGATCCATAACCCTTTTGATATGAAAGAATCAGTTCTAAGTCGACTTTGATCTTTAAAAAAATTTAGATGAAATTCCATTTTATTTTTCGGGAAAATTGTGGAATTAGATCTAAAACTTAAATTTAAATAAAATATAACATATATCTGTCTTTAAATTAATGAATATTTTTCCCAATGTTATCATCAAAAGGGTAAAAGAAGTATTTTAACTGGTAAGCGTAAAGTAAGTTTTTAAGTGTAGAATTTGGTTGAAAAGTTCAGAATTAGGTCTAAAAAATGTAGAATTTGATCTAGAAAATGTAAAATTAGATCTAAAAAGTGTAAAATTTGATCTAAAAAATGTATACTTAGATCTAAAAGGTGTAGAATTAGAAATAAAAAGATGTATCAAATTATTTATGTATCTGGAAACTTGGTTTTCAGGTATTGGTAAAAGGCTTGAGAAACAAATGTACTGCTATGGTATCATGAGTTGAGATGTTCTAGTTTGTCAGCAACCTTGTAATAGGCTACAAAGGGATGAATGGTCACAATACTGTTGTTTCAATGAAAACTTTGAATTTTGTCTTGTACAACAAAAGAGTGATTTTCCTTAAAATCACAAACCATTTCCCCTCTCTGTATCTGAGGTGTAAAAATAGACCTACACTGACATATTTAAAAATGAGTCATACACACATGCAATTTTTAGTGTACAATATTTGACAAATATACTGAATTGATGGTCTGCAATTATAATTTAGATCACTTAGTACTTACTCACACAAAAGTATTAAATATGAATTATTAATCAATGTTCAGGAGAGATAACAAGAACTAAGCAGAAATACTACCTTCTAGTTAAATTCAAAAATCCAAATTAGCATTACATAAGGTCTCCTGCTTAACATAGACAAATACAATTTAAAAAAAAAAACTTGTCTTCTCCTTCCTTTTGGCAGCTAAAAATATGTAAAAAATTCAACACAATCGCTCGGAATTGGTACACATCCTCAAAAGGAGATTGAAAATAAAGATATGCAATTATGACCTGTAAATACTATTTTAATTATATTTTTTCTCTTAACGCCTAATAACGAACTTGTGATTACCTATTCAAAATGGAAAAAAATTTGGAGCTATCTTTAAAAACAAAAAAGTTAGTCATTTAAAATATAGAACCCATCCTCGAGATCTCGAAATATCGGAAACTTTTCGGAGCATATCTTCGGCCTCGAAAGTGTCAGAACGCTCGTCTGCTGACTTGACATGAAATAACCCTTTTTCAGGTTGGAAGTTTGCAAGTACTTGGAACGGAGAAAGTATCCTATCTCAATGGCTTGGGACGGATTTTAGCCCAGGATGTTCTAGCTTCAGATCCTCTTCCACCCTTCCCAGCCAGTATCAAGGTAGTATTCTTCCTTCCTTCCCAGCCAGTATCAAGGTAGTATTCTTCCTTCCTTCCCAGCCAGTATCAAGGTAGTATTCTTCCACCCTTCCCAGCCAGTATCAAGGTAGTATTCTTCCACCCTTCCCAGCCAGTATCAAGGTAGTATTCTTCCACCCTTCCCAGCCAGTATCAAGGTAGTATTCTTCCACCCTTCCCAACCAGTATCAAGGTAGTATTCTTTCATCCTTCCCGGCTAGTATCAAGGTAGTATTCTTCCTTGCTTCCCAGCCAGTATCAAGGTAGTATTCTTCCTTCTTTCCCAGCCAGTATCAAGGTAGTATTCTTCCTTCTTCCCGGACCGTAACAAGGTAGTATTCTTCCTTCCTTCCCGGACAGTATCAAGGTAGTATTCTTCCTTCCTTCCCGGACAGTAACAAGGTAGTATTCTTCCTTTCTTCCCGGCAAGTATCAAGGATAGGCGGATTTTTGGTAACTAACAATTTGATAACTAACATTTTGGGAACTTGACAGTCTGGTATCTTGTCAATTTGTTAACTAAAATCTGGTAACTGACAATTTGGTAATTAACAATTAGAAGTAAGTATGAGGAAACTTGATTAGCGCATTAACTGCATCCAGTTACCCCTCTACAATTGTTTCATCCCATTTGGAGCAAATGTTATGTAGCTGTCTCATTCGCTCAAGCTAAGTTTTGTTTCTGGAGCTGTTGTGGGACTGGTGGATATCATTCAGATATTCTGCATGTGTAACTCTAGCAATAGACTCCTCTTTCTGAAAGTCTGTAATCACACTCCAAACCGTGGCATTCTTTATCCTGGGAACCCAAAATGAATGTAAAACTTCATTTCCATTGTTGGTAAGAAAGAATTTCACCAATTTGTCGGTTACCAAATTGTCGTTTACCAAATTGGCAGGTTACTAAATTGTCAGGTTACCAAAATGTCAGGTTTTCAAATGGTTAGTTACCAAAAGTTAACTAGTTTAAATCCTTGAAACTTCTATTTCTGTGTTGCAGGACGGATACGCTGTTATCTCCGGAGATGGAGCTGGAGTGAGAACTGTAAGAGGAGAGTCAAGTGCAGGATACGACCCAGATATGGAACCTCTCAGTTAGATTTTTTTCTTTTTTTGTGTCATGATTACGTTGTTACTATTTTTAAAGATGATTGTCAGAGACTTAGACTTATTTCATACATATATGATATCTTTAGACATAAGACTTTACTCTATAGTCTTAACTTTAGACTAAATAGGTTCGATTTTGGAGTTGGACTGTTGACTTTTGACTATTGAGTTTTGTTCATAATTTTTGATTATCGATTTTCGATTCAAATTGGGAGTTAGAATAAGACTGATAGTGACTACAGAGATAGTAATCCTATTGGTCTAAATGATAGGAAAGTTGTGAAAAATAGTTTTAAAAGACCACACTTTCTAGAACCCGGAGAAATAGTTCGAATCAATACTGGAGCTCCAGTACCACCAGGAGCAGATGCTGTGGTTATGGTGGAGAACACTAAACTTGTTCAAGCAACAAGGTTATTTCAATTATTGGGCTCTTTCATAGAAAAGACCTTGTGGACCTCCCCCCCCCTCTTCTATAAAAAGTTTGTGAAGTCTAGGAAACCCCAAATTAAAATATACTATTAATCATTCAGGTTCATTCATTAACTGTTCGAATTCTCATTAGATGGATATTAACTTGTTTTTGTTTACAAGTGATGGTGAGGAGATAAGTGTTGAGATTCTAGTATCTCCAACCCCCGGACTAGATATCAGGTTTATTTACAAATTAAACAATTAATTAATAAATGATGAATAAATACAATGCGATCCATAAAACTCTAGAATAGTAAGACAACTTTAAGACTCAAGTTATGACTTAAAAAGTCGATAAAATGAGCATTGAGCATGAACCACAGAAACTGTGCAATGTAAACAAACTTATTTCACTTTATAAGTGATTTATTTTGTTGCTAGTAAAATATAGCTATGTAACAACATCTAATACAATTAAGTATTGCGTCTAATGTGGTCTTCCTATTCCACAGTTTCACAGTTTTTTATATATTCTTGTTTATTAGACTTGTGGTTCTGATATATTCTTGTTTATTAGACTTGTGGTTCTGATTTATTCTTGTTTATTAGACCTGTTGGTTCTGATAAATTCTTGTTTATTCGACTTGTGGTTCTGATTTATTCTTGTTTATTAGACTTGTTGGTTCTGATATATTCTTGTTTATTAGACCTGTTGGTTCTGATATATTCTTGTTTATTCGACTTGTGGTTCTCATTTATTCTTGTTTATTAGACTTGTTGGCTCTGATATATTCTTGTTTATTAGACCTGTTGGTTCTGATTTATTCTTGTTTATTAGACTTATTGGTTCTGATATATTCTTGTTTATTAGACTTGTTGGTTCTGATATATTCTTGCTTNTAGTGAATTCAAAAAAACTAATATGTGGTAAAATTTCTCTGAGATAATTGTAAAACTTTATGAAATCTTTAATCTTTAATCACTGAATAAATATTTAGATCTTAAAAAAAAGGTTCTGATATATTCTTGTTAATTAGACCTGTTGGTTCTGATTTATTCTTGTTTGCTAACCTATTAGTTCTCATAAATTCTTGTTTATTAGACCTGTTGGTTCTGATATATCTGAGTATGAGAAGGTTCTAAGCTCCGGGAACCTCCTTGGACCCGGTGAGGTCGGAGTTCTTGCTGCTGTAGGAGTTACAGAGGTGGAAGTTACTAAACTACCAGTTGTTACTCTACTCTCAACAGGTTTATTCTTAATTTTATTTTTATCGAAGGAATTTGTTTTAGGAATATTTAATTTATAGAAATTAATCAATATTTCCTTGTTGTCTTAACTCAGCTTTTCATGCTGACTGCACTATAATTATCTTTTCTGTGTCTTTTTATTCAATACCGTAAGATGCATGAAAATGCCATATTGAATATCCATAATTGGACAAAATTGATGAGAAAAGTGAGAAGGAAAGTGTTGGAGTAAAACTTCTCCTGTGAGTTTAACTCACTCAACAAAGGAATTGAGTCTTTGCCACAAACTCTGATCTTCTAATACCTATATCTACTTAACCCAATGTCAGGGACCTTAGATATTTCAAAATATGATTTCTGTTAGATCAAATAGTCTGAGTTTGAAATATCAAAAGTTTACACAATCAGGTTGCAAAGATATATGGATTAGAAACTTTGAGTTTGTGACAAGGACTCAATTCTTTTATATTGGTATTCTAAGGTCGCAGGCCTGCTATTTATCCTTTATATTCTTCAAACTTTTCTCACTTCCGATTTTTAATTTTCACCGAGAGGAATCATGAAAATCAAATTTTGTCCCTCTTCCTGAGAAACACTAATTTGTTTTCTTAGGAATTGAAAATTTCAATCTCAGCATTTAGTAACTTTTAAACCTTGTTAAAAAATTTCTCTCAAGTTTTATTTGTATGTTAATTTAGTCCAGGATTTTTACCAACAGAATATTTAGGTTAGGTAACCTCAACGTATAGGTTGTAAAAACTTCATATTCAAAAGAAAACTCAATTTTTTAGGCAATATGCCCATACCAAATATCTTTTTGTCAATTTTACTCTACATTTCGAACCTTGTAATTTAAACCTGTGAAGAACACTGGCTTTTAAAGAGTGTGTCACACGTAGTTAATTGTTTGATGAATTATTGATAAAACAAAAAGGTAGGTTAGTTCTTTCTGCATGAATTTAGAATGCAGTATTATACTGCCGTTTGAAATATTGATCGTTTGAATTATTGATCGTTTGAAATATTGATTGTTTGAAATATTGATCGTTTGAAATATTAATCGTTTGAAATATTGATCGCTTGAAATATTGATCGTTTGAAATATTGATCGTTTAAAATATTGATCGGTTGTAATATTGATAGTATGACCTATTGGTTCTTTGAACTTGTGCACGTGGAAATTTAAATATAGGGAAAAAAATCCTATTCATCTTAATCAAATTGAATCCAATAAATCGAAATATAGGCAATGAAATACAACCACCTGGAGAGAAGTTGAAACCTGGACATGTCCGGGACTCCAACAAGACAACTCTAGCCTGTCTTCTCCGCGACCAGGTATAGAGTAAATCAGTTTTTAATCCAAACTAATAATTTATATAATAAAGCTCTTAGCTTAAATGTATAAATATATAAAATATATTTAAATGTTAGAAAAAGTATTTTTTTAAGGGAATATAATATAATATATCTATATGTAAATTTAGCTTGTCTGTTTGGGTGTCTGTTTGTTTGTTTGTTTGTATCCAATAAACGTCAAAACGGCAGAACCGATCGGGCCCAAATTTTTTGTGGGACATCACGTGACCTCAGGGAAGGTTTTTGAATGATAAAAATTTTTTAAGAAAATGTGTTTTAAAGGGTTAATTTTGTAAAAAAAAAATTGAATTCTTGAAAATCTGCGATTTTTTTTAAAAAATCCGCTAAAAAATTTTCTTATTTGTTTTAAAATGTAAACAAAAAGAACATGTTCACAATTTGAATAGAAGATGGGCGCGAACCGCCCTAAAAGCCTAGTAAATACATATATATATGTGTATAATAAGATACAGGGTGACCACCAAAGGATTTGACTTGAGAGATAAGCATTTTGAAATCATTTAGATTTTTTATAATGGTTCCCTGCCGCTGTAAACGTGTTTATATCTTCTCAAATCCAATAAATATACCAATTACCACTGAAAGACTATATCCTTAGATCGTAATATTTAATGAGTTTCAGGCCGTTATGAAGGTCTCTTTTTATGTGGGTGACCACTGACCAGTGACCATGTACTTAATACTTATTGTTTTGCAATACTCAAATTAAATATGAATTAAGAAGCAAATCTTTAGAACCAATCAGAATACTAATAACTTATTTTTAATTGAAATTAAACAAATTCTTCTTCTTCTGAACAACTTTATTCAATACCAAAATAATCAACGATAGTATATCTTATTCGCAAACAAAAATAAAGAGAAAAATTCTCTCATTATATCTTCGTATCTATTATATCTTCGTATCTATTATATCTTCGTATCTATTATATCTTTGTATCTATTATATCTTCGTATCTATTATATCTTCGTATCTATTGCTGTAATGAAGTTGTGTTGACATTCCTCTTAAATGTTGTGAGAGTTGTTATGATAAGATTTTTAAAGAGGCTTGCCTTATTTACAAAGGTGATAAATAATGTGGAAGAAATCGTCGTTTTTATATCTTAAAAATTTTAGAATTCTGTCAATTACGTTCTTTGTCTCCAATGCATAAAATCCGCATTTTACATACAAAGAAGTGATACATTTTTAGAAGGAAAAAGTTTAGACAAAGGTTTAAAGGATACCGTTGGAAAACGGGCATGCTTCTTGAATGGAATGTCATTTTAATTTACGCGTACAGTTCCTTTAGGCACAGCGCATCTGTACACTGTACACTGTACAGGTGTTCTGCATAGCTTATCCGTAAATAACGTACATGATTTAATTGTGTTCAGGGGTTTCCAGTTCTGGATGCTGGGATAGCTCGGGATAATATTCCTGATTTAACTTCTTGTCTAGCTGCTGCTCTTCAGAATACAGATATACTGGTTACTACAGGAGGAGTTTCCATGGGGGATAGGGACCTACTCAGACAGGTACAAAGGGAACCTACTCAGACAGGTCCAAAGGGACCTACTCAGACAGGTACAAAGGGGACGTTCTCAGACGGGTACAAAAGGGGACCTGCTCAGACAGGTACAAAGGGAAACTACTCAGACAGGTAAAAAGGGGACCTACTTAGACAGGTACAAAGGGGACCTACTTAGACAGGTACAAAGGGGACCTACTTAGACAGGTACAACGGGGACCTACTCAGACAGGTGAAAAGGGACCTATTCAGAAATACACAGTGGGACCTACTCATGTCGACAGGGGTGTGGGGACCGTCTCGTACATGCACTTAGGGACCTATTCAGAGTACACGGGGACCTACTTGAGACAGTACAGAAAGGTTTCTCAGTCATGTAAATGAAACTTTGAGTAGCACAGAGAATAGGGCCTTCTCGTATCTAGTCTCTTTGTATGGAGTTTGGAGTGAGGAAGTAGGACCTTGAAAAGTCTATTTTAGTTTGATTTGATTTTGAAAAATTATATTTCAGGTTTTGGTCTCTGAGTTCAATGCAACTATCCATTTTGCACGTGTTAACATGAAGCCAGGGAAACCTACAACATTTGCGACTTGTACAGTTCAAGGAAAAAAAAAACTCATTCTCGGGCTTCCTGGGAACCCAGTTTCCGCTACAGGTTGGAAACATAATACGCGGATTTTTTTTAAAGTCAAAAGATCTATGACATATTTAGATATATGTCCTATGGTTTAATACTGTTTTACGCCTAAAATTATTATTTTTTAGTGATATTTTTTTGGAAATCATATTTTCCATTTTATTCATGATAATCTATGTTTTAAAAAACATCAAGACATTATCTTATTTCTTATGTCTTTTGTCAAATTTGTCTTATGTCTTATGTTCTGAAAAATAGTTGTTGATTATTATAATGTTGATTTTTTTATTTTATTCTTCGCAATATACACGAGCTAGTGAACAAACTTGTTTTTAGTGACATGTCATCTATATGTACTGCCAGCCTGTCGTGTACTGGCCGGTCAAACCAGTCCTCTGCCTGGTCGTGTACGGGCCCGGCTGGTCAGCTCGTATCCTGCTAAACTGGACCCTAGGCCAGACTATCAGGTCTTCCTGCCACATACAAATATTATAGATATTAAGTAGATTTTAAATGTATGCTTCCAGAAAATAATACAGACTTAATTTAGCTATCAGTATGTTTTTAAACAGTTATATTTTTAAAAGAATTTGATAAAATCAAAAAATATGATTTTACTTGAATTTTAAGTTAAAATATTGTATATGAATGGATTCCATTTTTTACATCTTTTTTTATTTAAAACTTTTATTCTTAAATTATTATTATAATTATTGTTATTATCATTTTTTTTATTTATTCAGAGAGTCTGTCTAAGTTTTAAGACCGGAAGTAGTGTTGGATCTGCTACTCCGACCGGAAATCAAATTTCATCAAGGTAAACTCCATCTTTAATCAACCAACGGTGCAGTGGGAATTTATCATAAATATAAGTTTGAATAAAAGAAAAGGGAAAGTATGGAAACAGAACCTTCAATCACAATATTTTTTGTCAAGCCTAATTCAATGAAAGTCTGATAGAAAGGGGTTGTCAACATTTTACTTTAACGTTCAGGAACTGGTTTTTTTGTAAACAATAATAAAGGTTATGTATTCCTGAGCAATGCCTGAAAAGCAACTGTTTACTAAATTGTTATTACTAAGAAAAAACTAGTAATAATATGTAACAGTAAAATGTAAAAATACTCTTCCCCCCTCTCCTTAATTCTACATTTTATACCTACAATTCGGTTTCGCCCAACATAAGTTTTTAATAATGACTTGTTGAATGTAATGTTATCCTGTTTAGATTGACTAGTGTGGCTCTAGCTAATGGTTTAATCATTCTTCCTCCAAAAACAGATAAACTGAAGGTATAAACCCGACATGACATCCGTGCAACTTAATAGTTTTACCGCGTTTAATTACCCGTGCTTATTTTTAAGATCATCCAATAGTTTTACAAAAAACGACCCAATTCATGCTCTTTGCTCGCTATGCAAGCTATGAAGAACAAAAAAATGCGCAAAATTTGCCATAGATCTAGTTTTTTTTTATTAAAGATTTCACTGAAAGTTTTAAGTGTTCTTGGAGTTCTAGCTCTCAGGAACATAATTTGAGCGGGGAAATGCTTTGAAGTGATCCTAAACTCACAAATTAGAGTAGTGTGTGTATTTTTATTTAATGAACAATTTTTGAACGATCCCTTTAAGTAAGAGATTGTTCAATGTTCACCTTTTTAAAGAGGACCTGTGATTAAAATATTTTAGGAGATTCCTGTCGGCAGTTCTGACGAGTTTGATGTCATTCTTATCGGGGGTCTTACAGCGTAATTGGATTTTTATCATCGATAATTTTTTTGGAAATGTTTATAAAAAAAATGGAAATTTTCTATCTTAATATTTTTATATCGATTGTATGTCTTATTGATCAATGATCATGTTGTCAATTTACTTACTGTGATTAACGTTTAATATTTTATGATTAAATATTTTCAGAAATCATCTATTTTCTATATGTCGAAAAGGCCGGATTTACGAGAATTCGTTTTGGTCAAAAACACAATGACGACCATTGATAATACTGAGGAACCTAAACCGAAACAAGCAAAGGTTAGATCATTAAACAAAAATATTTATGTCTAACTCAAGAAATACATCTCTAAAAAGGCAATAGAGAAAGATTTAGCAAGTGGTATTGATTAAAATGGTTTAGATTGAAGAACATTCTCTCTGAAGTTACACACTCTCATGCCCAAGATTGTTGTTGTGAATGCATGGGGGGGGGGTCAAGCCCTCTTGCAATGTGAAATTCACTTTAACCAACTGTTGAAACAACCTTAAAAGGAAGGTTGAAAGAAGTTCTTAATTTTACCAAACATGTTTATTTTAGGAACCTTGAGAAAATTATGGATATTTTAGGAATCTTGAGATAATGATGGATATTTTAGGAACCTTGAGAAAATGATGCATATTTTAGGAACCTGGAGATAATGATGGATATTTGTAGATCCAATTTTTAATAAAGTTTGCAAAATTTTGTTTTGTTTTAGTTTTATGTTCTCAAAGAGAAAATGTTCACAATTGACAAAAAGTCTAGTGATGAATATTTTAAGAACTTTGAGATAATGATGGATATTTTAGGAACCTGGAGATAATGATGGGTATTTTAAGAACCTGGAGATAATGATGGAAATTCTAGGAACCTGGAGATAATGATGGATAGTTTATCAACCTGGAGATAATTATGTAAAATTTAGGAACCTGGTGAAAATAATATATTTTTGTAACCTGGAGATGATGAAGGATAGTTCAAGCAACTTGGAGATAATTTTGTAAAGTTTAGGAACCTGGAGAAAATTATATATTTTTTAGGAACCTGTAGATTATGATGGATATTTCTCGTCCTACAATGATATAGAAGTCCACAAATTAATGTTACAGGTTATATATTTTACCTTTTAACAGATAAAATAGGATAAGTGGGTTATGTTATTCACCATGATAATTAGATAACTAAAAGCAATATTTAATTTTTGTATCTAATCAAACGAAAAAAAAGAAAGTTTTCACTTTGTACAATCCACTATCAACTGGTAGTCACTATAGTTACTACCAGTTGATAGTGAAATTTTTGTTTTCTTCGCTCTATTTTTTCCAAAGTATACCTAGTGATTTGAAAGAAATAAAAAGCAAGTTTTTATCATGAATGTAAAAGTCACTTTTTAATTACTTTACAATGGTCTCTTGAAGTCTCAATCCTTTGTGGTTAACCCTGTATATAGTTTGTATTGGTCATTCAGTTATTATTAATACTAATATCAGTAACAAATAATAAATCCTTGGCGACATTTCTAATCAAAAGAAAGAGAAACAGAAATTATGTTTTTCTGTTTATTGGATATCATTGTATTTTTATATATTCGTTTTAAATTACGTATTTACGCCTATCATGTTCTCTTGAAAGCAATTAATGATTTGATTGTTTGATAAATGTAATCTTCTGTTGGATCATTTTACAATTACTAATCTTTCTAGGATAGACCAAGAACAGAGGCCTACCAGAGAGCAATACTGGATAATCAGGAGTTCTTTAAAGGAAAAATAGGTCATTTTACTTAACAAATTTGTTTTCATAAACATCTTTTGCGATAAATACATCAAAAAGCCATGTTTGAGGAAGGGTTTGTTAAGAACATATCATACATATCCACTCGTTGTATTATTTTTTTTATGAAACTAGTGTGTACTTTATCATTCTTCCTCACTTCATCGTCAATTCGATAATGAAAGTGCTAAAAAGTAATCATCGTGCTATAAGGTTAAATTAGCTGTACATTCGAACGTGTGCTATAAAGTTTTGATTGGTTCCCGAATCTTCTCCATAAAATTTAGGATATTTCCAAAATATTTTTTCTTCAATTAAAATGAAATTAAAATTGAAATCAACTTTATATTTTGACTTCTGCTTTGTTTCAAAGCTTATTTGATCTAGAAATAGCCATTGAAATAAGACAAGTACACAAACGTTTCAGAAAATTACCTATAACATTATTATTTTTGCACGGCGTGCTATAACGTTTTTGGGCTTAAACTTTCTCGCATTTTTAGATTATATTTTGTCCATAGCCTAAAAATGCTTGAACTTCTCGATAAAGAGAAAATTTTTTAACACTGCGAACCAAAATAACAGTGTTATAAATTGTTAATTATTATTTCTTAACACCAATAAAACCTCGTTCATTCATTATCAATTAAATCTGATTAGTCAAGCATTTTTTATTCATCAGACCTCGAAACAAGAAAAATACTTTGGGAAAAGGACAACGTCATAATATTTACAATTTTACTGAAGATTAGAAAACGTTAATTCTTAAAATGACCATTGTTCCTTAATACACTGTAGATTCTTTAATTAATTCTACAAAATAAGCATTACTTATGAAAAATATTCAATCTTAAAACAAAATTAATTTTTGTCTAATCCAAGATTATATTAAAGTTATTAAAAAAATGAATCCTAAATATATTTTGATTAATACTAATTTTAACTTTAAATATTCTCTAGCAGAAAAAAATCAAATTGTTTATTTCTTACGCATTGAATACAAAGAAAGGATTTGATTAACGATGATGATTATAAAGATAACGATAGCGATAATGATATCGATAACGATAATAAAAAAAATTTCTAGTGCTTGATATTGGTGCTGGAACTGGGATCCTCTCTCTCTTCTCTTTAAAGGCAGGAGCAGCTAAAGTATATGCTGTAGAAGCAAGTCCTATGGTGGAAACTTTAAGGTTGGTTAAAAGAATTAAATTCAAAGACGCAGTGAAGATTTATGCTAGGCGGGAAAGCTGCTAAATTCATTTTAATTATGGAGCCATCATCTCCTAGCAGATGGATTTGGATTTTAATCATTGTTACAGTGGTCAGAGTTTTTATAATTATAATGAAGACGACTTTTCGATTTAAATTTTGATTAATAACAACCTTTTTTTTAAATAACAAGTTAACAAGTACAATGGGAAACTGTTAATTTACAGCTTCTCTCTGTTTTCCTTGTTAATGTGTATCAAAATTGAAATCGAAAGTCGTCTTAATTGTATCGATATATACGACGACTATTTACATTACACAATACACATGATCCTGATTTACACTTTTTAATACATTTGATCAGACTCCGCCGATCTGAATCACTAGTAATAAGGTTATCAACTTTTGTTATGCTTTGTCTTTCAAAATTTATGGATCCGGATTCGCATTTGAATAAGAGTTACAGCGCTGCCATTTTATTTTTTATTTTTATATTTTATTTTTTAGAGAAATAGTAAAGCTAAATGACGAGAATGGAGTGATTGAAGTAGTTCATGGAAAAGCTGAAGATATCGACCTACCGGTTAAAGTTGATATTATAATTAGGTAGGATGAGAACTTACATTGTTAAATCATACTTTCTCTCTTCATCGTAACAAACAAGTAAAAGTTGAAGCCATTTTTCTTTCTGTTTGTATATAATTCGAAAACATGTCATTTAAATCATCACATGAAATTGTAAATAACATGTCATAAAAACATTCCTCATCACTTAGAAAAAATGTCTTAAAACAACTAAAGCGAAATTGCTAGTGACCCTCCAGGCAAAAATTGCAATGACCGATTCACAACGGTGCCCTTGAAAGCTTTGTCTAATCAAGTGTAAATTAATGTTTGTAATTTTGAAGACTGATTTTTCAATTGAGGTTTCTCTACAAAAGTGACTAGCGCATTTCTGCTGCAAGAAAACATATAGACAGATATTATTAGAACGAAACATTTTGAAACCTAGAAAAAAAACGAGACTATCTTCCACAATATTGATCAGATAAATTGATACAGTTGTTAATCGGGGCATTGTCATCTTTGCATGGAATGTCACTTGAAATTACCTTTAACAATCGCTTTTTCCTTCACTCCAGATATAAAAGAAAATACGCGAAAACTTCTAAAACTTGTATATTCGCGAGTGTACACAAAACCAACAATGTACGGAGTATTATTGTTTAGTGAATGGATGGGATTCTATCTACTTCACGAATCCATGTTAGACAGTGTTATTAAGGCACGGGATAAACATTTACAGGTAAATATTTTTTTGTGATTTTTATGATGATAATTAAAAATATTTTTACGCTATATTGTCGCTTTAAGAATTATAAGTCCAATAAGTTGTCAATTAAAGTTATTTTTCACAACCCAACAGCCAATTAACCTAATTGATCAGCACTAAAAACATTATTTAACAAGTTAACTATTTATTTTGTTAGTCATCATCATTTTGATTAACTAGGCTTTTTAGGCTATTTTCGCCCTATTTTCAATTAATAAAGTTAGTGTTTAAATAAACCTCTTAAAGTTGGCAATTTTTTCTTTGTAAATAAAGATTCCACGGTACGTATCGTTTACAAGAAACATGAATGAGTGTTTGAAATGTTTTTGACTTGAAAACATTTATTTGATATAACTCGCATTCTTCAATAAAATATTTCAAAATTCTTCTTCTTACAATTTTTTGGAGTTCACACCCTTTGCTAATGGTTGATGTCAAAGTCTACTACTGTCACCAAGTATAATTTATCATAGCATTTATCATACGTAATTCATTATCCTACCATCTACAATTTATCATCCATAAATTATCTGTCATTATTTATCATTCACCAATCATCATCGATCATATATCGATCATTCATAATTCATGATCCTTAATTGATGATTGATCATTCATAATCCATAATTCACCCATCATCATCTATCATCTTCCATCATTATGATCCATAAAATTTATCAACTATCAGTTATTATTCAGCATTTAACATATATCGTTCATCTTTACTCATCCATAATACAGTGAGAACCAGAAAACTGTGGAATAGGAAGACGGCGTCCTTAAGCATTTTTAAATGTTTAAACTTATAACAAAATAAATAGTTTTACTGGCAACTTATTAAATCACGTATTAAGTGAAAGGGGTCTGTTTCCACTGCATTATTGATGCGTCTCATGTTCACTGGACTATTTAAAGTCAAAACTTGAGACTCAAAGTCGTCTTCTTATTCCAGAGTTATCTGGTTCTCACTGTACATCATCGTAATTCATTGGTACCATCACTGTAAATATTAAGGACGATGGTTTAATGTTCCCTAGTCATGCTAGTCTCTACGGAGCTCCTGTTGAACTTAACTCCTACATGAATGATAACATTTCCTTTTGGGAGTCTGTTTATGGTTTCAACATGAACCCTGTAGCTCAAAAAGTTCTTGAGAATAAAATTTCAGGTCAGTCAAGTTTTTTTAGAGCTCGAGGAAATTTTTTTCCTTAATCCCTTCAGAAAACATAAAATATGTGAATATAATTGAGGCCATGCTTGACTTATAGAAAGAAAATATCCAAGGGCGTATACAGGGGCCGAAACTCAGAGCTATTACACTTTTCAAATCCTAAACTGAAGAGTTTGCTATTCGGAATTGGGAGTTTGAAGGGAGCAACCCCCCCCCCCCGCCCCACCCCCACGAACAAATACATACTATTGAAGGGGATTTTAAAAACCGAATTTTGGAGAGAAATAAATTCTAAATTTGTTAGCCTATATGCCGCCCCCAGAGTGCCCATGAGTTTCCTGAAAAAATCAGTCCATTAGGTTCAGCCGTTTGGCCAGCCATAGCGAATATATAATTGATATAATTGTAGTCCTACTTTTTTTTGCACAGTTTTTCATTTTCAAAAATTTTCTTTTACTATCTCTAGTAAAAATGAAATGTAGATTTTTTAGAACCATGTTTTTTCTGCTAGTTTTATTTAAATGAGAGATAAAGTAGTACTGGCAAGGGAATTGGACTATGTGTACCTTATGTAAGTATCTTATTCTTATACCTGATATCCAAGAAGTCAAATGTTTTGAA